ACCTGTTTACAATTCAATGGGGAGATTTACAAACAAACAAAAGGCACACTGATGGGATCGCCAATGCCAGGATTGATTGCTGAAGCTGTCACTGGGATCAACAGTCATCCCGCTCTCATCAAGACAAAAATTTGGATCCTGTAAGTTGACGACACAGTCGTAGTTCTCAAAGAAGAGGAAATAGAAAACACGTTCAAAACAAACAATCAAACATTTGAAGGGATTCACTTCACAAAGGAGAAGGAAACCAACAAAAAATCCTATTCTTAGATGTCCTCATCAGCAGAACACACATCGGGACTTTATAAATTCAAGTGTACAGGAAAACTCAACACACTGATCAAATTTTGAACTATAACGGCAATCGTCCTAAAGTCCATAAAAATTTTGTGTACAAACATTCTCAAGAGCCAAAACATATTGCAGCACCGAAGCAATACAGAAAGCCGAAGTAAAAGACCATTACAAAATGTCCAAAGCCAAAGATTACCTACCCAAATTTACCAAAAAGTGTTTATCAACAGGAAAGAAGACAGGCTAACTGCCTCAAATCACTAGGCGCGTTAAGTTACCCTGCATCAAACATATCTCAGAAACAGTCAACTGATTGCTTCATCCGTTCGGAATTGGAGTACCCCACAAACCAACGAAATCACTACACAGCATGTTGTACAAACCAAAAGAAGACAGGACAAATGTGATCTACACAGTAAACTGCAAAGATTGTTCACAATACCATGTTGGCCAGTCTAGCCGTCGGATTGCTTAGAAAATTCATAAACACTAACCAGTAATAAAGCGATATGACTCTGCCTCCTTAGTTTCAATGTATCCAGGCAACCAAGATCACAAATTCTACTAGGAGGATGTGAAAATCCTCCAGAGAGCAGGTTCAAAAGCTGAAAGAGTTTCTAGAAGCACAGCGTTCAAATGAAATGTCAATCAACAGACATGTGAATATAGATCTAATGTATAATCTACTTAGAAAAAGATAAACGGTCATCCGTCAACCAAGGGAAAACTGACCAAATAAATCATTAATGATGCACAATGTGACAGCAACGAACAGCATAATTTCGCGCTAAAAAGATTATCTAACAGTGTGACCGAAAAAAATTAAAGGTTAAAATGTGGTAAAACATCTCTTCCCCCAACTTATAATTAGAAAACACCCAAGGTTAATAAAAACACTATCTAAACGTTCGTGTAGAAATCCAACATGCACCACATTTTTTATGAAGTTAGTTCTGAAGATGCCATCAAGCCTGGTGATGAAACATTCACGACAAAATATCAAAGTTCTGAGCACACCAAACTACCATCATCCTCATCCCAAGCTACAAATCGTTTTCATCATTTGAAAGTCGTTGAACAACCTAAACTGAAAAAGTCGATACTTTAGCCTTCAATTTAAATAGTTACCACCTCTAGACAAAACTTTATGAGTATTCTGTATAACTAGCATGTCGGTATATCTCACAAACCATAATTTATGCGTTCCTAATTTCACTACCTCCAGTGACTAAATTAGTTAGACGATTTAACACAGTTAGTTATTCAATAACCATGAGAAGTTTATATCTCACTTTATTTTATATACAGACCATCATGTTTAGCCGCAACTACTTGTTCAATTCTCCTTATCAGACTGACCTCGTGAAAAGCGACTGTCTAGATGTTTATGTAGGTTACTAGGTGATATATCGTTATGGCGTTCATAAAACAAACATTTTCATTATGGGATTTATTATGGCATTTAGGCACTAAATCCAAAACAAATACTTGGTCAACATGCATTGTAAACTAAAAAACAAAGCCTTGAAGATCACACTGAAAGTAAGATAAACGTCGTAAAACGATCAATAAACAAGATGGAATGTTGACAAAAACCATGAGTGGAAAATCTTTACGAAATGTTGGAGACATAATTTTTTCATAAGGTAGAGGTTAAGACTCATAAATTGATCAATCATCAGTGTTTTGAACAAAGATGATGAACACTCAGAAGTGAATAGTATAGCCAGTGAAAGCGAACGTATTATTGTTATGATTCTGAATATGACCAATTACTTCGCGATTTAAGTTGCTTATCAGAAAGATTAAAAAGTATTTAGCATAAGTCACGTAGACAAACAAAAATGGAATTGACTCCAAGAAAAAAAATCAAGTTTATTATTAAAAACATGATTTACATCAACAAATTAAATACACGTGGAAAAACGGTTGATGAACTTTTTAAAAAGGCAATAAATGTGAACAAACGAAGTCAATAAATTTCACTAGTTTCGTAAAAATTCATCATCTGCAGTATAATGTTGCAATGTGGCCAGGTACGCGATTTCGTCAAGTTCCATTTAATTTCTATGTTCATTTGTTGATCTACTCTACAGTAAATAATCTACACAATCGATAATTCCTACCAGATTTTGAGAGGTTATCATGCGTCAGTGAGCAAGACGACAAAAAGTACAATCAGTTTGAACACCTTGTTTTAAGGTATTGAATGATTAAAAAAATAGGGAAGACTGACAAAAAAGTTAAAATAAAAACACCAAATAAAAAACCTGATAAGCTAAAACTATTATCCTTGTTCGCTGATATCAGGTAGTACATTATTATAAAACTGTTTGTCAGACGATGTTATTCGAAACAACGGAAGTACGCTACTTAATAGTTTCAAAGAGAAAGTAGAGCTACTGACCCCTCCTTATAAGCATGCTAAGTGCAGTTCTTATGTATCGAGTGGACTAATTAACTAGTTTATTGTCTATCCTATGTGGAACAAGAGAAATTTTAAAAGAAACTATTGAAAAAGAATACAAATGACCAGGAACTTCCTTAGATTTCGATGAAAAATAAACAACGAATAGATTACCGATTCCGAACTAACATTTTCTATATAGTCTTTTCAGAAGTGTGAGAGAGACATTCTCAGTCACCTTGTGTATATTTGTGCAGTAGGTAATGAGCCACACACATTGTGTGAGGGCTACTCTGGTACAATCAGGCTGCCCAAACTTCGGTAGGTGGAGCGGTATTCCAACCCGTGACTCATTGGTTGAAGGTCAACTCCCTAAGCCATCTAGCCACAGCCCCACCTCTTCTGAAAATGCAAATGAGAATGTTCCATTTGACTTTTAACTAATAACTGGCTAACTGAAGTTTTACTAACTATTCCAAATTGCCTCAATAGCTAGCTGCACTCTCACAGATTTATTTAACTTGGTCAAGTAAGTAAGTGGTATACAAGTGTCTGATCAATGACCAATGTTTAACAAGTCTCAGTGATCTAACTTATTTTAAACCATATAACAGCAGATTTGAGTATTGCTTTAAAAAGTGAATTAACTTTAACATCAATATTGCTGTCAAAATTTCGTTAACCTATCACAACTAGACTGGATTTTCAACTAAAAAACTTTAGAATCAGTTAGCGATTTGCATGGAAATCGTCTACCTCAACCAAAAACGTGCGCAAATCTTATCAAAAATCATACTACATAAACTTCTTCGAACATACACTTTCCCCTTTACAATACACCGCTTATCCATTATCTGAAGTATAAGTAAACCACATAAAATCATATTTTATAACCAAGTTGCCATAGCAAATAGAATGGCAACCTAACGCATTTGTCGACAAGAACATGTTAGCTGCCCTGGAGCCTTCACCTCATCTCTGATTGACTGGCTGACTGATGAATAAGTTATATTTGTATCGTCTAAGTAGCATCTTTGCAAGAAAATAAAAGCTTATTCTAAAGTAGTATACCAGTATATACAACTCAGTGAGTTTGACACAAGTTTTGATTTTTATTACTCATTCACTTGGATTTTGATTACAGTCAACATTTAAATGTAGGCATCACAGTTTACATTAAATATATATTTAGTCTCATTACACGGTCATTCATTTAATTAGTCAACAATGAAGCATTGTAGCATACCACATGATACGATTATACCTGCTATTTTTTAAAATTATTTTAACGTAAATTCGTTGAAGCAGGTACACCGAAGAATGCACTACACTGCTTTCTCGGTGTTTTTCTCCACGCATATACCCCTTTTGCGAAAGTTGAAGAATTTGCAAATGATACTAAAACAGTCATTACGTATCAATATTGAACCTAGCACTACTGCGTAACACTTCAAGTTGTCACACCGAACATCAGCACATCAAGATACCAGGTAACAAAACGAAGGGCGAAGAAATGTAAACAATATAACCAAAATTTGTAGAAAACTATATGAGAAAACGTTGCCAGAAATACCAAAATATCATGTGCCAGTTAATAAGGTAAAACATGGATGTAACTATACCAGCGTAAACGCTCTTGATCCATATCGCTTTAAGTCTACAACCTGGAAGTTTAAATTTTTTGTGCATAGTTCACGGCAACAGTCAGGGGCTATATGAACTGAAGCTATTTTCGGTCTGATGAATACTAAATCGAAATGCACTCAGCAGCCTTGTGCACATTTGTGCAATGGACAATGAGTCACACCGATTGTGTTAGAGCTAGTGATGCTACCTGGCAGCCCAAACTTCGGTAGGTGGAGTAGGACTCGAACCCGCGACCCGCCGATCGAAAGTCATCGCCCTAAGCCTATGAGCCACAGAACCATAATGCTAAATACTAAAGCCTGAGCATAGGTTTCTTATAGCATTTATATTTCAACTTGAATACTTTGTTTGAAAAATACTAAGAGTACGAGTGAAGATGTCTTGAAGTTATTGGTATGAATTATACATTTATCAGCCAACAATTTGTGCACTTAAATATTGTCGGTACAACTAAGTGTTTCAGCCCTACACTAAAAAGTCAGGTATTGGTATCAAGTCTAACGTCGTAGGCGTAGATCAAAGTCTGTCAGGTAGGCCCGTAATTTTGTAATGAGTGGCATTTACTTTTTATTGCTACTTGCTGTCTCACTTGATTCTAACAATTGGAAAGGAAATCAACAAAAATTCCAGGCCAAACAACTAATACACTAACCTGGAGTAAAAATAATACACCTTTGTATATATTATCGTAAATAATATCCTTGAGCTGTTCAATTTCTTGATTTGTAAAATGTTTTCCATTGATAATTTTCATTTGTTTCAGGAATGTACTCTTTCCACTTTCACCTGTTCCCAGCAACAAGATCATTTGTCGTCGGCGAAGACGACTTTTATCCTTTTTTAATTCTTTTTCTATTTCCTTGTTACGTTTTCGCTGCCACCTTACTATTTCTTCATTGTCAACCGACTCTTTTGAATATGCACAACATGTGAGTAAGGATAAAGCCTCGGACATTTCCTATTGGAAAAAGCCATCAAAATATTCAAATTCTAAAAAACATAGATTGTTAGAAAGACAGGCTGACATTAAAATGAAATATCCTGAGAAAGTGTAATAAAAGCTAGTGGATAATATTCAAAAATTGGTACTCTTGAGCTTGGGAGAAAAAATCGAAATGCAGTTAGCAACTTTATACACATTCGTGCAGTAGACAGTGAGCTGTACGACTTATGTGAGGGCTAATGATACTACAAGACAGTCCAGGCATTGATAGGTGGAGCTATATTCGAACCCGTGACCTACTGGTTGAATGTCAACTAATAAGTCACTGCTTGTGCCTCAGTATTACCTATTTTACTATGAGCTTCACGTATAAGTCATCACTTGAATTATTCCCTTGATTATGAACATCCATGAATCAAGAAGACAAACTGGTGAAAAAGAATCTATAATATTCCAAACAGTACACAGTTTAAACTAGTTTTTTTCACCGGAAGTTTCATTTCACCTACCAAAGTAACTTAGTCGTTTCCTGCATATCTTTTTGTTTAAGATCCACGATTAATTGCATTTTGCATGTACAGAATTCGGTTCGGTACAATTTTAAGCAATATTCTTATCCACAACTGCTTGTATGTATTTGTATATTTAGTTTCAGCTCCTATGACATATATTCAAGACGAATCATATAGTGAGATGATCCAGTTAACTGAATCGTAAACACAACTAAGCTGACAAAAGAAACAAGACAATTACACAGGGTCACCTTAATTGCAAAATAGGGGAGCTTAAAAGATAGTTATCAAAGACCATAATTCCCCTCTTATCTAAGACAAAACAGTCATATGGAATAAAGTAATCTCCAAAGAGCTATAAGGTTTGCTTCCAACAGATACCATCTAAGTTGATATGATGGTTGGCCTCGCATATCATAATTACCCAACAAGCTATTTTGGCCTACTCGAAGTCCAACCAAGTCAGAAAAAGATTTCGGAAAGCAGTTGCAGTTACAAAGTAAAGATATGACAACGTGGTGCAAGCCTAACGGTTAAGCCGTTTTGTTAGCTATACGGAGTGTTTTTCTCACAAAAATCCATATTTCAGGGCAGCCCTATCAAGACATATCCGAATGAAAAGTATGAAAAAGTTAACAGTAAAAGTAACTCGCAAACTTTTGGTATTGGCGGTCACCATGACAGAGTTAAGTCTAAATCAAAGCTCCGGGAAAGGTCGTAAACGGTCTCCAGATGTCCCTGTGTGAAACCATTCCAATTTCACTTTTAGATAAATCATGAAAGTGTTAACTTCTGTCATTTTATGTAATCAAGATCTCCCAAGCATCTGCTAGCCTAAAACGATAAACAAAACTCATCTAGTCATCAACTACCTTTTCTACCTTTACACTCCCATTCATCAACTACCTATGCTACCATTATTTCATCTATTACATTCTTCTACACTTTTCAACTTGTGGCCTTTGCTAACGATCTAAGCTAGCAAAACCCTATTCCTAATTTACTACACTGACGCTGCCAACTTATTACTGGAGCTTTGAATGTTAAAACTCTGTGCCAAAGGTGAAGAACTTCACCAACCAAAACTCTACAATCTCCAAAACTAGAAGTACGCTATGCTTTCAGGAGACATACATGACCAAAGTATGGTTATTTAACTTGACCAACGTAAATGAGATGAATTCGTGAATGATACCTTAAGAGTTTTCGGTGATTTGTCTGAACTCATTAGTATAGAGAAAGCAGTAGATCTCAGAGCATAAAACGCAATGATTGTTTAGAATCGAGTTGATAGTCATTAATGTGTTTTCTGGTTGGGTGAACCAGCGAGGAAGCATCAATGCCTGTTTATAGTTTCCGTTTACCCTAATACTGATTGCAACTGAGATCATGTTGAGAATGCATCCTACCAACAGCTGATAATTTCACGACTCAAATCGAAACCTACAAATAGTTATACTAGCAGGTAACTTTAACGCTCAAGTACGGTAAGCGAACCAATCGAAAAGACATTTGGGGAATACCTACAGAGACACATACTGACGGACAGTCAATGTCTTCTCCAAGTTTCTACTGGCAATCACTCCAAATACAAGGAAAAAAACTGTCACTTGGCGTTTCACCGAAAATACCGATCGGTGTACACATCGTATTGCCACAAGCTACCAGTTGGAGAGGATTTGTAGAAGATGGTAGCTCTTTCTGAGTGCCTGGTTGGATCGCAATCAAAAAATAGTCTAAGTACGTGCACCTGTATCGCAAAGCATTCATGGAAGCTTGCGTGTTCAGTCGGAAAAAAGGACATGAAATACGTATTGTTCGTGGCTCGGCGTTTCTGAAAAATCGTAGTGATTCTCAAACCGACTAAGCTAAAAGTAATATCCAGTTTTTTACCAGAAAAAAGTGTATAGTTACTGACCTACAAGTAAACAGTACTAAATAGCAGTAGATTCATGCAACCTTACTCAAGCCGATAAGTTCGGCTGTCTTTGAGCAGCAAGTTTAGCTTAAATTTAGTCTATCTAGTAGTATTCGTTATGATCAGGAACGGTACAGCATGGCCAACAATGAAAAAGAGGATCGGTCTCATGTAGTACATGGCATTTAATTATTCAGGCTTATAAAATGGACTGCAACAGAAAAAACGATGGTCAAAGTGACTTGTCGAGAAATCTAGGTCTCTGATAACCTCACGATAAACAGGTGAGATTAAAAAATTATATAGAGGAAAAGTGAATGAACAGGTTAATATATCATCTACATTAGTGTTTGTCCTATCAGTTATAAACGGGGTCCAGTCAAGACACTCTTCAACAAAATTATTGCTCAAAAGACAAACTGAAATATCGCAGAGAAGGGCCTTAAGAAGAATAGGTACTTTAACAATTTGATTATGAAGCATGAAAAGTAATATAGACTTAAAAATCCAAACATCTGATTGTTAAGAAAAAAAGTTTTTACGATTTCACTATTCAAGAAAGCTGAGAGAGAAATATCTCAATTTATTCATAAGAAAAACAAAATCCTGAATATTTCTGTTGAAAAACAAAACAACAGTCACAGTAGGAATAATCTTTCTGACGAATTCATTTCTATAGCTGTATATTTGCAAGTGCATAATCTAAAGGTGGAAAGTATCGGACGAATCCCCCGTTAAAAACATGAAAAACAAGTCTGGAAAGGAAGTGAGGAAATAATACGTGACATGAACAGTGTAGAGATTTTTTAAAAGTTGCCGGCTGCAAAACTTAAAATGATAAAAGGATTGTCTGGTTGGCAAACATTTTCCAGAAAATATCCAAACAAAAAACAGATGCAGAGCGACATATTTTCAAGGCCACGGTAGAGAAATACTTCTGCATCTACTTGAAACTTGAATCTGCAGACTACCGGTGATTTGGCTGCATACGCGTATCTCATCTCTATTCCATTTGGACGATTTGGTCTTTTTATTAAGAAAATTGGCTGGAGTTTCAAATGAAACCTGGAGATAGAACAGGAGATTGTCTTGTTTCTAGCTCTTAACAAACAAAACGGCTGGTGTTGGCAAGCATATGTAGTAAGTGAATGCATATAACAGCCAATGTACTCTGTTACATAGGAGCAAGTAGAATTATAAACAAAAATCGATAATGCCCAGTGAGTCAAACTGTCCTTCACACAATAATGAATCAGCTGCAAGTACGAGAAAATGATTCGAAGACTTATAGCACATAATGTCCTTGTAAGTGACTTTGACGGGCGTTTCTTTAGATTATCAAACGGTGATGACACCTATGAATTCAGGGTTTAACAGGGTTTCGTCACAGATAAATGAGGTTGGTCTGTAAGCTCTTCCTTCGAATTCTGGTCTGTAAGTCGGAGTCACTAACCATTTTGTAACAGAACGATGGAAAGTTCGCAGCCCGTTCTTTACAGTAACATTAGTGCATGCCATCGTGATCGTTTAAGAGACAGAATATATAAGATTTATTTTCTTGTTTAAAGATACCCAGCCATAAGTTTAAAATGGATATCATAAGGATAGATCGTCGAACAGAACTGTCGTCTTTTTTGAAGCCTAATATCAAGAAGACTAAGCAAAAATTGACTGGATTTCCATTATACAACTTGATTTAGGACAAACTATTACTGAATCTCTGAAGGTTTGCCAAGTGCAAGTTCTCAATATATACAACGGAGGTGTCTATGACGGTATTTTGCCTTCTTTGATTTTGTAAAGTAAATGGCTGTTTTCCAGACTAATTATACAGAGGTCAATAAGAAATTAACTGAGGAACGATCTCATTACTAAACCATCAGTTTTTCTATGATTTCGTTATTAAACACCAACTAGCGTCAAACGCACATTTGTTCTGCCAAGTAGTGCTTTGGTAGACCAAAATCTAGATTCTCGTATAGCATGAAATGTTACCTTTTGTGAAAGGTCTGAAAAAAATGACAGAATGCTCAATGAAATCATTCTTCTTCCCAATAGATTAACAAACACACACTTGATCGAGTAAACTCGAGCCCAGAGACTTTTAAAAAAGGTTTATAAGTTTAATGACCTTTCACGTCATTTTGTGACCATGTTTTGGGGAATTCGCTATATAATATATAACGTAATATTGGATAAAAATGAATGGCAGACAAAGAATTCAGGGAAAAAACTGCCTCACTGCTAAGCTGGTGTCAGTTTACAAGTGCGTACTCAGTAATTTAGTATACGGGAGATTAATACTCTGGCACCACAACCTTCAGACATACTTACCAAGCAAGTCAGCCGGTATCAAGATAGGACCTGGCAATACTGAGTAAACGAGTTGAAATATCTTATATCAAGACGTAAGAAAGCAAGATGAACATAGGAATAGCGACAAAAAATGTAGTCGAAATCAGTAGAAAGTTGTAAGAATAGAGGAGGAGGAGACAAAGCAACAGTAATATGATTAATAAGATGAGTGGATACAACTGCTAATAAATGTAAAGAATGGATTCCAACAACTTTAGTAAGAAATAGAGTACATATTTAAAGTGCGATAAATAGATACCTGCAAGAAACTGGATGCCGAAAAGTATCCATCCATTCTCTATGACAGACAAACAGACGAAATCAACGTACAGCCTCTCACACAATGGCATCGGTTCAAGTGGCCACACTTCCTAGTAATATGCAAAGAAGTGGGTAGAAAGAGACTGATATCAAAGTAAACAAAAGTGCATGTGAAGAGAAACAGTTTGACGATAAACGTTAGTAAAATTATTCAAGCTTTAGAAGACATCAGAACGAACACATATGAGCCATTGCGACTGATTCTCAGCCATATCACCAAGAGTTCTGTCACTGATGGCTGTCGTCTTGGGGACCACACGCAGATACTTTGAATCTCTCACTACAGCTCAGAGCAAGAGTCAGTGACTTCATGGACTGATCCCACATCTCTATCTGGCTACCCTGAGATATCTTACAATCTAATTTCACTTTTTCCGAACATTGCACATCGAGGTAGGCAGTGGCTCAGCATCCGCAACACATGTCCAAGTGACCTCAGTCACTGAAGGCTCACAAACTCATCAAATGGCATACCCTATTTGTCTAGTACCTGTCACGTAACCTCGACACTGCCAAAAAAATGATTCTTCCATACGCGACGGATGTAATGAAGACACCTGTGGTCAAAATCCTGCAACCTCTTCCTTCATATCTCATGCTACCAACAAATATGTCCCATGACCGTCATATGGAACAGAGCAGACTGCTGCAATGTACACTTGTCTTTTAATAGGTGGCCAGATATTTCACCGGTACCACAGGTGGCATAGGTAGAAAAATGTCAAACAGGTCTTCCACGTCTAAGACGAGTTTCGTCAACGACCAGACTGTTCGAGCTGATGCAAATCTCCAAGTGAAGTGGTTGATGCAGTTCACCAATTCATTAACTTATCCCTAAACTAAGAGTAGTTGCAGACCAGTTCTGGAGCATCGTCTTACATTTGACACGTGCGAAACTCGTGCCAAACATACTCAATTTGTGCTCAGCACGTTTAGAAGACCCTACATTTTGTTAAAGTCTTCGTCTAGCAGGACAATGATGTCTGTGTACTCCAAGTCAACCATATGCGTTTCAGGGAGTGGATCAATTCTTATGGAGTCAGATGTACCTACGGTTATTTCGTCAGTACATCTATAACGAAATTAAACAGGAAAGGTGACAGTGAGCATCCCTGTCAGATACCACTAGTAGTCGTCAATTCATATGATAACTCTCTATAAGCCCTGATATGGCTGCGTGAGCTTGAGCAGAGGGTTTTGGTTAGCGTTGCAAATTTGTTTGGTACTCTTTTTGCAGTCAGACACTGGTTATAAGAAGTGATGATAGAATGGTAGTCAATTGGAAGAGTGAACATGGATATATGATAAGGTGGCGTAACCGAGTAATTAGTACTATAGAAAACCCAATAATTTACTACTTGATTGCATTCGACTTACTGCTATCCCTAGAAACTTAACTGAGTAATTCTCAGGAAGACTGATCCAACCACTGTATCCTATGTCATCTATTCGGATGAGACTGTTGCTTAAATATAGAGTGGAACTCAAAACAATAGGTATGGAAATCATACAAGTAAAAATGAACAATTGATTAGGAGTAAGAGAAAAGGTCAAAAGAAAGCTTATGACCTTTCAGTAATGTATCTAAAGCTGTAGCCTATATGACGGCTAGCGGTGGAATCCAAGACGCGTTTCGTTCTACTTGGGACCCGTTAACCGGATGTGCCTGCCTCCAAGTGAGTGATGTTGTTCCCACCGAGACTCAAACCTAGTACCCATAGCTTCAAACGCTAAAGCGTTATCCCTTAACCTACTGGAACACAATAGCCAGTACTTGTGAAAGCCGTTTTATTTTTTAACATATAGCTATTACACTTTGCTCAAGCCTTCACAATCAGAGATTTTAAACCTAGTGTTTGCAAATAAAAAGAGACTAAGTTAAATTCTCATTAGCGTGGTACCTCAGTATCATTTTAGTTAAATCACAACTTTCGTTTTATTCCTATTGTTATTGTTTATCATATTTCGCTCAGGATTTTTTGATTATTCAACTCACTTACTTTACACCTTTGTTTATTTGACAGTGTCTTTGCTAAAACTAGAATTATTTGCTGAATCATGTCTCCTTGACTTATTAAATCAATATTACTTTTGAATTGGTAACCCTTTCTTCTATAAATTTGTAGATTTATGTAAGTTTAGGGCATATGGAGCTGATGAAAATCCTGAAAAATAAAACGAAACGTTGCTTGCTAGTTACAAGTAAGTGATTCCGTATTTGTTTATTTCATCAAGTATATTGATACATCGTTTACTGCGTCAATAACCTATTATGAAGATATGAACATCGCTACCATTCAAACAAAAGAATAAGGAAAATTAGAACTATTCAAGTTGCGATGATCATCAGTTGGTCAATCTTAACGTGAGATCTGGCGTTCCAATGCAACGGTCCGAGTTACCACATATAACAGAACATTAAGGGAGACAGTACCAAAATTAAAGATATGAAAGTAAAGAAAGTAGTCGAAAGTCGTAAAACGAAAGCAAGAAGGAATGCAACAGTAGTGATTTCGGTGTAGCAACTAAGATGAAGATCATACATGCAAACACTTGAATCACTGCAGTATCGGCTAGAATCTTTAACCCCCAGTTTCGGTCGCTACTTGAGCCTCAATCAAGAAGTCTGAACTTTCCTACATAGTTCAGATTAATAGTCAAGGATTTCATGCACTGATGACATATTTTAGTCTAGCAAGGTTCGATGTTATTCCAGCCTGTAAATACTTCAAGTAGCTTTGTTCAATGGATTGAGTGATGACTGGTCACGTATAACACAGAACTCAACCATTTGAAGGAGTGAAGGTTCGCAATACTAGTAACGAACTTATCTCCTTTACGCAAAACTGCACTGAACTTCTACGTTATTAATCACAACTAATGACCTGTATTATGACAGTAACGGTGCTCAGATACCTTAAGCATCATATCCTATTAAGTCTAATATGCATGTATCACAGCAATAAAGTTGAACAAAGTAAACTGTAGAGCAGTACACTCGACCATTAATGGACCACCGAACTTCCTGAGGATGAGTGACACTATCCTATTCCGGTAACTGTTCATTTCCTTCTCGAAAACAGCCCTAGCATTCGCATCATCGAGCCTCGCTTGCAATGATCTTTCATCTACAGTTTTTCTGCGTTCTTATAGATGCGGGTATCTGCGTGCTTGAACCAACTTGTAATGATTTTCCAAACACATGATTCGGAAGGAGCGGAAATCTTTCACCGGTGCTCTCTAGCATTAACTGATAACAATATGTTCCATCTGTACCCATCATTAGGTTAACATCATTGAACGCCACGTCAGGTATTGTCTCTCTTTATGTCTGAAGCTCGTGCTGATCAGAATTCGGTGGTTGTCTGAACACAGTTGAAACAGGTAATTGTCATTATTAAAGCTGTGGCTGATTAGTCCCAGGACTCAACTTCTTGCCAACCACAGGTTGAAATCCAGATCCACGTGAGGAAGTTTGGCAACCAGGTAGTACAATTAATTCGCATACAACAAATATGGCTCATTGCTTAGTGAACGAATATGCATAAGGTTATCAATCGAATTTCGACTTTTTTCTTTGCTGTTTAGCTTGAAAATACCTCAGAGCCTTTCTACCTGACTTAGCCTACCCAGCCGTCCATTGAAATCACCTGCTACTACAGGCATACCTGATCGTTCAGGTCTTAGTAGAAGGCTAGATATTTTTCGATAGGACCCATACTTCACACCATGCAAAATTTAGCTAGTGGATGAGTAAGTGGCGGTCACAAAAGGAAAGTGGTGTTTCATAGTTGGTTTTATTCCACAATCCACCGTTTAGTCAAATGGCGCGTAGGCGACTATCAAATGGGAATTCAGTCAAGCAGTGCACTCTGTTTTTATGACACCGCTTTACCTACACTAGCAACTCCACGAGGATTAACCACTGAATCTTCGGAAACTTGAGACGTGAATTTCGCAGGCTCATCATGTTAGCTAGGAGAAATTAAGAATTACACTTTGGCCTTGTATGCGTATTTTACAAACACAGGGCGCAACCATGACCGGTGGTGCAAGAGGTTTGGTCAGTACAACTTATTGGTCAATTTGACAGGGTGCGGAGATTGAAGGCTTTGATGCGCAGCGTACAGCGCGTTCTCAGGAGACCGGCGATGCTGTTCCATGAACTCGGATCGTTATTAAAAGCTGTAGAGCTTGAATATATTAACGATGAGGCAGAAATATTGACTAGATGTGAAGAAGCAAAAGAAGGTAAGTATGTCGAAAACTGATAATTATCTGAAAGATTTCAAGTGGTGACAGAGCTTTGATGACACTGAAAAGACTGTGTCCACTAAACAGTAAACAGTACGGTACCACTCAGTGCTACATTAAATCAACAAACCCAAAATGTGATGTGCACCAGTTTCCAATCTCTACTCTTAAGTAGACGATGTGTTTGAGTCTGTTGTCAAGAGTGACCTGTGTTTGGCTAATCCATTGTGGGAGTATGATTAAACGAAAAAGGATGACTTAACATTTATAAGTATATGGCTTACAAGGAAGTACTGATACAAATGCGGAGATATCATTCATAATATGTACCTACCTACAAGTTACGTAAATTTCTAGAGTGAACAAACCTCAATGAAGAGATGTTTTACTGTCTTAATTCCGACCCATTAACGGTAGAATGAGAAAACCACATTAGTCACTCAAGATCCATATCTACTGTGATCGCTGATTAAATGTAAGTTTAATGCAGCAATAAATATTTGACCGACAAGTAGCTTTAAATTTATACATATAGGTCAAGGGCAGTAAGTTTAAAAAATACTGTTAAAAGCCACTTACTATAATGTATCAATGAAGATATGAATTATTCTTAATTGACTGGTTATTAGACTATATAGGTTTATATTAACTACAGTTTGTGATACAATTCATGGTGCGAAAATATTTGACACAAGCAATCAGATGAATTAGAACGTGTTTGAAGCCAGGTGGGTACACATTGTTCGCGTCACTTTGCTCTAGTATTTTCATCAAAATGTATTCGAAATTTCAAAAATTACTACAATCCTCTTGCTAGAGCGATGACAGTGGTTTTGAATGAAATCCTAAAAATATAAATGCTATAAGTACAAATCAAACCATAAACATCAAAGCTTGGAATAAGCAGTCATGTCAAATTTCAATACTTTTTAAAGCCATAGTGACTGACACCCGCAATGAAACGTAAGAGCGTAACAAAATTACACGGTGAACAATCGTTAGCTTGTTTACGAAAGTCATAAGGGAAAGTCCTTTGCATTATGACTAAAAAGCACAAACCCAGATGCCTCAGGCCAACATTCCTCTAGCTTTCTCGGAAGCTATCCTAGAATTTACCTACAATAATTCAAAAACTGCGGTGAACATAAGTCAATTTCTTTCACTAAGCTTTGTTAACCTTCACACCCACAAATACACGACTATATACATATCACCTTCCCAAGAACACCGATGGAAGACGAAGCGAACCAATATCACATCGCTAGGACACTAATATCCGTTCTTCCTTGAAGGTTAATTAAATAATGATCTCATGTCTTCTACGAAAATAGTATATAAAGCCTTTCGGAATATTGATCTTACACTTATGCAGTTATTCACATTGTCACGGCCAAAACACCTTGATCTTACTCCAAGCTGTCGAAATGAAGATATTTATATAGGTATGTCATAACCGTCCTATATGAAATTGTCGAAGCAACCCAGATTTCAGGAATAGAAACTGTTAAAAAAAACAAGTGGTGGGACTTAAATAACTGATCTGATTCATCCCAGTCACTGAGTCGCTAATTTAAGGCTTAAACTATGAGAGTAACACACAGTAAGTATAACTAACGAAAATATGAAAACTTTACATAAGTAACTCTTTTGCTGAATAGTGCGCATTACATGTTCTTGTCCAATATCCAACATTTTTTCGCGCGCTAGTCTGAACCACTTCTAGCTTTTGTGCAATGGTTTGTTTCGTTTATCCTAACGCAGGAGGTCTAACTATTCGCTTGCTGTAGTTCTGCTTAACCCGATTGGTAGTGGGGTGTTGATTAAATTGCAGGGGTCATATGATTTGTCCAAGGGCTGTGGTACAGATTGGTTCCCCAGCCGCCGTACCACTGAGCAGCTATTTATACTGGTTATAAAAAGATGATAGGAATGAACTGAAGATGTCCGGCGAAATAAGCAAGTGGAAGTGAGCAAAAATATGGTGAAAAATAGCGGAAGAGAAGCAGTAACCAAGGTAGAATCAGTATAGAGCGAAGTAGTATGGAGAACCTTGCCAAATAAACAGAGATCATGGAGATGGAAGGGGGCAGAGGAGCAGGCAAGGTTATAGGATGGATTATGGGAATGGAAACAGTAGTGTTATAAGTGGGGGTACTGTAACTGGAGTGGAGATGCTTAGCAAAGAAGTATGAGGTTGATTCCAGTTAACAGTGATAGAGGCGGTATAAAAAGGTCTGTATGTGATCTGCTGTGTGGGATGGTATACAACCGGTTGGTTTCATTGATCTAGTCCGTTACGCAACTTGATGAGTGCAAGCCATCCATCGCTGCGTAGCTATCCAACCACTTCATGAAGCAGTAGACAGACGGCGCATTGGCTATCCCGATAGGCGATGCAATCCAGTGACCGCGTGCTCGTAAAGCGGAAGTGAATGAACCCCCATGGGTTGCTGCTTTTGGACGGACGACCCTCCTTGTGTTGGCATGAGGACTACCACAGTGGCAGTTCGGTAGGAGTCAGTGGCGTGACACACTTCCGCAAAATCAACAGCCTAGAGTCTGACGAGATTCAGCATCGATGCTGACCTTGATAGTTCAACTGAACTCGTTAAGCTGAGGGCACCCGGTCAAGCATCCTCGCCATTTGGCACGCTGTCGTGTTACGTTGCACTGCTCGTAAACGACTCTAGCCAGTTAGTTGGAACGCATCGGTATCTTGACACGACCACCGAAATATACTATCCCATCCGACTACGCTATCGTGTTCTTCCTTGGTCTCGTATTCGTGGGTACATAACAAGTTCGAACAATTAGTGATTGGCCTTTGCGTCTGTCAAGTTCTCACCAGGACAATTCTTAAATTAGTGAGCCCGACGTGATCATATATCCCGACCAATGACAAATCTTAAATTTAGAAAAAGGCTGATTGAGCGAAGAAATATATTCCCTCTCCATTAGGTCTTCATCTTGGGCTCTACACTAATATATAGGTCTGCCTCTACGACCAGTTCTTGACATGACTAACTCTCCGTATCTTGCGACAGCAAAATGGTTGGCACAACTTTTGAAGTCTCTCCACAAAGAAGTTGTTAAGTACAGTCTCAAAAATACCCTTGAATTTGTCAGAAACGTTTAGGATCTGGAAGTAGATAATAAGTTAATGATTCCGTATGACGTTTCATCTCTTTTTACTAACGTTCCTTTGATGGAGACAGTAGACTTTATTTGCAACGAACTCACGAAGCATGGCATGGAAATAGGTATTTCAGTCCCCAAATTTCTTTTCAACAATGAACTCTGCCGGCAATCTGATAGTGTTGCCATGGGGTCACCCCTTGGCCCACTCTTAGCAGATTTTTTTCTGGCAAAATTTGAGAATGGTCCACTGAACGATACTATAAGCCGTTTAGAGTTATATTGTCGTTACATGGATAATACCTTCATAGTTCTCAAAAGTGAGACTGGTGAGAATGCTATTCAGAATAAGTTCAGTAGTGTTCACCTGACAATCAACTTCACAACGGAAGAGGAGAAAAATGATAGCATCCCATTTCTTGATGTTCTGTTTGTAAGAAGGTCAGATGGAACCCTGAAGCGAAGTGTCTAAAGAAAGCCAACATCAAGAGGTCAAATAAGCACTTCTTTAGTGCTGTGCCCCTCCAATACAAAAGGAATCTAGTGAAATGCTTAGCATACCGTGCATCGGCTACTTGCCCAGAGGATGCTATAAAAGAAGAGAGCGCCACCATCCGTGATCTGCTTAGTAGGGATGGCTACCCAGACAAGTTTGTAACTAAGCGCATAAATATTACGAGGGTCAAGAAAACAATGCCAGCAGTTTCTAAGAAGCAAATCTCCTTGAAGCTGCAATTTAAGAGTGATATTGCCAGTGAGATCATCACACAACGCACAAAAAGAGTCTTGCATAAAGCATTCCTAGCCACTAAATTATGCTTCACCTTCTACAACCACGTGATTCTAGGTACAAGAAATAAAGACAAATTGCCTGATTCTGCCACTTCTATGTGCATTTATCAATTCAACTGCTCCTGTGGAGCGAGTCACACTTGGCGTACAATAAGGCAGTTCCGTCGTCGAACTTCTGAGCATCACCCATCATGGTTGAACAAGGGACAAATTAGAACCATAAAGAGCTCCATACTTACACACTTAGCTGACACAGGACATTAAGTGGTTACTGAAAAAGCCTTCAAAATTATCCATCAGATTCCAATTAATTTACCTCATGGATTACGCACTCGGTTACTTCACATAGCAGAGGCGATTGCAATCCACCTTCACAAGCCTAGCCTTTGTACCCAAAAGAAGTTTGTTCGACCACTTTCATTACCATGGCCGTCAACATAATGTAACTTCTAGGTTTATTTTGTGCACCTCCTCCCCTTCCTGTTTCTATCAGTATTCATATTTCCTATTTTAGTAACCCTACTGATCATTTATATCATCATTTCCGAAGCACCACGTGATTGGTAGTTTGATTAAATTGCAAACCTATATATTAGTGTGGAGGCCAAGATGAAGACCTAATTGAAAAGAAATATATTTCTTCGCTCAATCAGTCTTTTTCCAAATGCCTAAATGGGAATGTTCGATGTACTGAAATTTTAAATTGGTGAGCCCGTTCCATTTTATACCTGTATATTGTTTTCATCTCGATAACGTTTATATATCCATTTACAACACCTTCTCATGTCCGACCACACTCCGAGCTTATTAGTAATAAGCCAACTACGACCACTATCCAACTCGTGCCATATTGGCCGGACAATGCCGAAACATGGTTTCTGTATGCCAAGGCAGATTTTCGAGAACAGGGAGTCTCAGATCCTCATTCTCGATTTCTTGCCGTCATACGTTCTCTACCGTGGGAATTAAACAGGCATGTTACACCACACATATTTAGTCCCGGATTAAGTGATCCTTATGCACTTCTCAAGGCCGCACTCTTGAAGAAAAGCGATCTCACAGATCGCCAGCGCCTAGACGAATTACTTCATAACATCGAGCTAGGCAGCCACTGAGCTACTGAAGTCCTCGCACGCATGCTAGAAGTTGTGGGCGCACGAACATTCGACAGTGGCCTCTTCCGAGAACTATTTCTCTCGAAACTACCACAACCGGTGCAAACCGTGTTGGTGACACTGCAGTCAGTCCCACTCGATGATCTGGCAGCCTCGGCAGATAAAATACTGGAGATATCCAGCAGACCTGTCTCCAACGTATATTCTATCTGCGACAAGCCAAAGGGCCAGGATTTAGAGGTGACCAAGCTGTGCAGCTCAGTTGAACAGTTGCCACGATCTCGAAGTCCTAGCTCACGTAGAACTCCACAGAAACGCACCTTGAAGCATGGCAGCAACTCGTGCGGTTGCCCCAAAACTAAACCTAACAGGGTGGAAGACCCTGAGTGGTGCTGGTTTCATAATACTTACGGAGACGAAGCCAGAAAATGTCGGAAACCATACAGCTTTAACAAGGACACAGACTCGGGAAACGGTCACGCCGGCACGTGTTCACAGCAACCGCAGCCGGCGGAAACAGCCGTTTTCTCTACATCACTGACATTGAAACGAGAGTTCGCTACTTCGTCGACACCGGCGCAGAAGTTAGCGCTCTTCCTGCACCGACAAAGGAGCGTCATCATGACCCATCCTTCAATCTCCAAGCAATCAACGGCAAGGAAATCGCAACATTCGAGAGACAGTATGCCTACCTCAACTTAGGTTTACGTAAACCTATCCACTGGATTTTCCTCCTGGCTGACGTTTCTATGCCCATCGCTGGCATAGACTTGCTGAACCATCACGATCCACTCTTGGATGCTCGCCGTCGACGACTGGTAGATAACAACACAAAGTTATCTATTGGCGGCACCACCTATGTAGGTCCGAGTTCAGCCCTCGTTAGAACCAAACAATCAGGCGACCCATTCTACCAAGCAGTCTTGGAGAAATATCCAGAGTTGCGACAACCAAAGCACACTCTTCCGTGCATAACCAGCAATGCTATGCATCACGTCACAACCACAGGTTCACCTATGGCATCCAAAGCTTGCCGTCTAGCCCCCGATAAGCTCAAAGCCGCGAAGAGTGCATTCGACCACATGTTCCAACTAGGCATTATCAAACCGTCAAACAGTCCTTGGGCATCACCATTGCACATGGTCTCCAAAAAGGATAGCAACGACTGCTGCCCGACTGGTGATTACCGAAGGCTTAACGCCAAAACAACACTGGGCCGCTACCCGATACCTCACGCTTACGACCTGACTATGACGTTATGCGAAATGAACATTTTCTCCCAAATCGATTTGGTCAAAGCGTACGATCTGATACCTATGGCAGAAGAAGATATCGCGAAAACAACCATTATTACTGCTTTTGGTTTGCTTGAATTCCTGCACATGCCATTCGGTCTTCGGAATGCAGCACAAACATTCCAACGCTTTATGGGTGCTTTAAGGATATTGCTGCTGAAACAGTAGCTAGTATTTTCGTCGAAAGATGGATTGCCAACTTTGGATGTCCATCCTACATAACAACCGACCGTGGGCGCCAATTCAAGTGTGGATTATTTTACGCTACAACTGCACTTTTAGGCTGCACTCGGTTGCGAACGATAGCCTACCATCCACAAGCAAATGGTATGCT